GAGTGTATAAAGTGGCTTCACACTATGAAAAGAGTTTTTGAGTTCAAAGAGATACTTGAAGATAAGAAGATGAAGTTAGTAACTATCAAGCTAAAAAAGAATGCATTCATATGATTAAAAATCTGAAGCAAATAAGAATTTATGAGGAAAAGGCAAAGATTACCACTTCGGACAAGATGAAAAAGCTTTTTAAGCACAAGTACTTGTTTGAATATCATAGGCAAGACAATTATATAAAGTCTTCTGCTTTTAAATAAGAATACCTTGATCATAGAGGAGTATGCAGTATAATTTATGCAACTAATGCCAAAGTGCAATGTGAATGAACTAGAGGAACACTCAGTAACAAGGTTTCTAGAAGGGATGAAGACATAAATATCTATTGTGTTTCAGCTACAACAGTAACACTTGTTATAGGATGTGATCAAATTAGCCATGAAGGTGGAGAGCTAATCGAATTGTGGTTAAAAGCTAATTCCTACTCAAAGATTGTTAGCCAAATGAGAGGTTTTAGGGGGAGCTTCAATCAGGGTTGGAAGACCTAATCCTATAGGTTCGGGTGCTTGAAAGTATTTTCAGTGTCTATGATTTGGGCACATTGCATCTGACTTTCTAAACAGACTGGTTATCGATCTAGTTAAGGAAGCCAAGTGTGAAGAACCTGAAAAGAAGTAGACCGAAGAGAAGAAATAAGTGGCAACTAAAGTAGACGGTGAACTGTATGTTGACGTGGGAAAGATATTGATGATAGACAAAGTATCTTAATCCAATTTCATTAATATAGGGGATGAATGAAAAAGGAATAGTTTCTTTCACATACATATAGAGATGTAGGAGTGGGTGTGTGAGGTTATTATTGACAATAAGGCTGGAACTAATGTAATTTATGTTGAGATGGTCAACCTGCTAAGTTTGTCTATAGTTAAACATTCAAAAACCTATCACATGACTTGGGTGATAAAAGGAAATGAAGGTTTACTACACAATAGGTGTTCAGTAGAGTTCATTGTTGGGTTGGTGTATATGGAAAAGCTCTAGTTTGATATATTTCCAATAGATGTCTGTGTCTGTCAAATGTTGTTGGGAAAGCCGTCGAAGTTTGTGTAACACCTCCAATCAAGGACCTAAATAAGATGAGGATATTTCAAGGGATGTCTCACATTCTTAGTGCATTGAATGTAAGATATAAAGCCTCATCTCCTTTCAGTCCAATTATTTATAACACTTAATTGAGTTCACACTTTATTAAAAATTAGGTATAAATTCTTTCCAAAGTAAATTCATTTCATAATAATACTCATTAAATAAATATATGTAGATTTCTTAAATCCCAAAATATGGTCAAAAACTTACATTTATAAAATTCATTTTAAATATTTAAATATAATACCTTGAATTAAATTAGACTAATTTGTGTCTTTTATTTGCCTCAAATAAATTTATTAACTTTTGAAATTATTTAAATATTCTACATATAAGAAATAATCATTTTGGCTTCATATATTATATTCCTAATATATTTTCTTAAAAATAGAATAATCATTTTATTTGGAAAATAATCCATTTACCTTAGTTTAATCAATCATTAATTTAGTTAACTCATAATTCAATTTATTAAAACTTGAATTTATCAAAATCCTTTAGATTGGAAAATCAATTAATTAATTCAATTAAAAACCTCAATGTAGCCTAATTGAAAACTAATCACGGAATAAACCTTTGAAGACCGTTTTAGGCATAAGGAACATTGGTTTCAATTAACTGAAAATATGTTATTTAAATTTATTCAATTAAATATAATTAATCTTTACCTATTAAATTCAATTTATTCCCTTAACCATTAAATTCAATCACTCCTTCTCAATTAAATCCATTAATTCATGCCAATTAAAATACAACCATTAAACCAATTAAATTCTTAAATCAATAATCCCAATTAGGGTCAATTTAATTCCTTATTTAATCTATTAATTTATTTAGGCGAATTTATATTAATTTGGCTATTAATTTATGTCACAGATTTCCATTTAGCTAGAATTAAACATACACACATCATTTAATATTTAAGGTAAGTTATACCATCTTTTACATGCCAAAAGTGCTAACCCTAGCATAATTATTTAAGTCCAAAATATGATTAAAAAAAGAAAAGAAAAGAAAAGTCCTTTCACTCACTATTTATTTATTAAGCATACATAAAAGCAAATTGTTTACTTCTACTCGGCGACGATCATCATTTAGTGCTTTTATCATCTACACCATAAGAAATAAATATAGTCCATGCATATATATATGTTATGCATTAAAAATTCTTTTCGTGTCATTTTGAAATTCATTTTTCCTTTTGGAAGCACCCTGTCAATTGTGTAATTAATCAGCTTTTTTTTTTTTAAATATGCATTTTTTGAAAACTCATAAAAGCACCAAGTACTTTCTCTCTCTCTCTCTCTTTTTTCATTTACCTTATGAGAGGGTGATCATTCTTCTCATAACCCTTTTGAAGGTATCTAATCATTTTCTTTGAAAGCATGTCCTTTTTCCTTTTCTTATATCAAAATCATGAATTTAAAACCTCTTTCATGATAATGATATGAATATGAATTCAAGTAAAATGCATAACCTTAATCTTTCATAAATTTGCATGCTTAATAAATCAGTATACATGTAAATAAATCTTATTGCAACGTTAGCATTGAAGTTGATCTAATCTTCTCCATCATATGCATCATTCGTGCCATCATTCGTGACTAATAGATATGGTCTTTAAAATTTCATGGAATTATGATAATTTTAACCCCTATTTTCAATATTAGTTACACAAGAAAGAATCTGTGGGCAGAGAACCCAAGAGTCTTGCAACGTTTCAAAGCTTATTAGAAAGGTTTTGAAGATTAATTTAGCCATTTGTGTTTTTGGTTTTAGATTACAAGTAGATCTAAAATTTATTTTTCAGATTCTCAAAATGTATAACATCAAAACTTATTAAATTAAGTTTTTCAATTCAACAAGATTTTCAAAATTCAACCATATTTTATAACAATAAAACTCATCAAACTAAACTTTCCAACTCAACAAGAGTCTCACATAATTTCAGATTTCATTTATTTGAAGTCTACTTTTTAAAATTCAATGCTTCTGAAGTCCACCAAACACCTCTATGGATAAGAAAAATTCTAGCAAAAGCTTAGAGAGGGTGACTTAGTAATTTCCAAGTAGGGTGCCGTCCTCATTGTTAGATGCTATGATCAATATCCACAACGCAAGAGGTAGAAACAAAGAAGTTCATTCTCCAGTCCCTCTATTTTCGCTAACAACAATGCAAGGACCGATTAGACATGACAGAACTGAAAAAGACAGACGTTGCCAGTTGCCTTTATCAGATTCTGCTTTCTCTTCTCATTAGGTAATGTCTCACCTCTCTCCGTCGCAAGAAGTTGGAAAAAGTAAAAACCTCAAAAATCATTCCTATTGTTTGCATTAGTTAGCAAATAAGTCCCTTATTTAGTCAAATTTTATCCCGTATTTACAAAATTTAGTCAATTCAACGTCATTGGACTAAACTGCATTAACTTTTAAGCTGACCCCCAAATAAAATTTCTCAAAAAGGCTAGAGAGATACGAAAACGCCAACTTGTTTTCCTAAAAATAAAAAGTTCGAGGAATAATGTAATAAAAAAAAAAATCTAACAATACTCAGTCATCATAATTTTTTAAAAATTTTTAACAAAAAAATAAATAATTTATTTTAAAAAACTTAGATTTTGAACATGTTTAAGGAATAAAAAATTCGAAATAGTTGTATAAAAAACAATACAAAAAAATCTCCGACATTGAAGTTTTGCAAAATAAAAAAAAATCAAATTTACAAAATTTTTAAAAAAGAAAAAAGTATTTTGAAATTACGAAAAAAAATAAAATGTCAGAAATTATTAGCCATTAAGATTTTTGAATTTAAAAAAATATATATATGTAAAATTTAAGAAACATTTAAGAAATAAGAAAGTTTTGCAATTTATAAACAATGAGAATTAAAAATAAATAAATATTTTATTTTATTTGAAAAGGGTAACTTTTTTTTAAGGAACAAAAAAATTAAAATGCTCAACAATTTTTTCTCTTAGAAAAATTAAAATTTTTAATAAATATTCTTAAACATTTCTAAATACTTTGAATTCTTAATTTTGAAATAGTTTCCAACTATTTCAATGGATGTTCATTTCCAGAAAGAGAAATATATTAATTAAAAAACAATTGAAGGTTTAAGTTTTTGAAAATAATAATGTTTTTTTATAGAAAATTTAGTTTTTTGTTCATATCTTTAAGAATTTTGTAATATTTTATCTTTTTTAATATTAAATATTTTTTTAAAAGATTAATTTTATTTATTTCTCTTAAAACTTTGTATTTGGTATTCATCTTGTAATTTAGTCCTTAGGGTTAAATTGATTAAAATTGTACAAAGATAGGGTTAAATCTCACCAAATAGTTTTCATAAGGGCTTATTAATCTAATTGATACAAATACAGGGGTGATCGTGGGGGTGCAAATCAACAAAAAAAAAATGCCCAAGACTCCTATATCTATTTGCATTTGCATGACATTTTAGAACAAGACAGATAAAAAGGAAAGAGCATTTATTTTTTGGCAGCATGAAAGAGAAAAGCATCTTCAGATCATCATTAAAATTGAAAAAAATCAAAAAAATCAGAAAAAAATTTGTGGCACGCAAAAAACAATCCAAAAATATCATCAACAACACATAGTGGAATTACTAATTACTATGATGGTTTCAGACAATTACCATTAGATCAATCTCTCCAAACCCGAACAATCATCATATCCATACATATTAGCACTACATTTTTCCAGCATTAAAATTGATTAACACAACAATGTGATAGATACTCATGATATGATCAGTTTAATTATAGCAAAATGCCACTTTTTGGGGAACTACTTGGATAATCAGCGCTAAAACTGCAGGCTAATCGTTGGCTGCATTAAACCCCATGACAGCCGCCGCCGCCGCCACCACCAAAATGTAACCCAATTTGCTCAACAAGCTTGACAAACTTGACATGTTTGCTACACCAAGCTTCCACGAGCTTTGCGTCTTTGCTCTCAGCATCTCTATGCAATGCACTTAACTGCTCTTTACGCTCACTCTCAATCTTACTCATAAAATTCACCTCTTCCTCTCTCAAACTCCTTATCTTTGCCTCTATCTCCTCCATTTTCTCCCTTCTTTTCCTTGCTTTCTCTGACTCTAACTGCTGCTCTAGTCTACTAAGCCTCCATGTTGCCTCCTTTTTATGTTGCAGCCAGTTTTGCCTTCCCTCCTCAAGCTCCTTACAATACTGAACCAGAGTGCCCATTTGATGACCCGGCATGAATCGCGTCAAATCCGGGTCCAAACCGGGATCAGAAGGAGATAGTGACAGGCTCACAGAAGGTGATGGAGCAGCTGAAACAGTGGTACTAGTTGAAGATGATAGATTTGAACCCGGGTTCATCCAAACAGACCCGAGTGAAAGAACCGGGTCAGGATCGGGCATTGGAGGCATCATAGTGGATAAAGTCGGAGTAAAAGATTGAAACTGATTAAAGATCTTCGGTTGCACGTATTTCTCTGCAAAGGTCTCCAAAATGTGGTCGTATTTGCCCTGTCCAGACGTTTTATCTCCGATCACGGGAATATTCCCTTCTTGTTGCTGGCGCTGATTGGAGTATTCTGTTTTATGATGGTGGTGCAATAAAGACTTGGACTTTGATTGCTTCTCTTTGAAAACCTCCCACCACTTACTTAGCCTCTTTGCTGTGCGGCCAGGGACTTCACTAGCTATCTTCTTCCACTTATTACCGTACTTGGCTTGGAGAGAAATGACAAGGGTTTGCTCTTCTGGGGTTAAAGATCCTTTCTTGATGCCTGGCTTGAGGTAGTTTTTCCAGCGTTCAAGGCAGGATTTTGGGTCTCGGTTGAGGGTTTTGCCATTAGCTTCCACACGTTGAGAGATGAGGTTCCATTCTTTCGGACCATATTGTTTAACATAGGCTTTTAGTATAGCATCTTCTTCTGGTTGCCAACGTTGTCTCTCCTTCATTTCATCATTCTTATTGGTTTTTTGGAGTTGGGATCGCTATGGATCCTTCAATGCCATTTGGGTCAGCCTCGTTCTCCCTCTCTCTCTCTAGTGTCCCTTGTGGCTATGGTAGCAGCAACTTGGTTTTGAGGAGAGAAAGATGGGTTCTTTTTCACTAGTTTTATGGCAAAGTGGGGTATGGAATTTGCAAGAGTTGAATGGTAAAAGCCAAAACCAAGAGGTGAGGTTGCAACTTACAGGAGAGGGTGGTAAGTAGGGAATGGCGTGGCGGTCATGAAGGAGCCACAAAATAATTGAAGATGGGATAATTCATTTGGTGTTATTTAGGTGATAGGACATACTTACTCTTCACGCGTTATGGAAAGCTTGACATCCACTCTCGTGCTGTTTACTGCTCTAGCTAAAGGAGGGGCTCTTTTATTTGTTTGATGGAAGAGGGCAGAGCAATATTGGTGGGGTGGCATGAAGAGAGGCTGGGATGCTTCAGGCTGTCGTGGGGCAGTGTGAGTCAGAGTGAGACAAGACTAGACATAGAGAGAGAGAGAGAGAGAGAGGCCAGTAGTTGTGTGTTTGTGGGGTTGTGGGGCTGGTGAGAAAGATGCCAATAATGGGTGAGAAATGAGAATGGTTTAATACAGGTGAGGGAGGGCAATTGGGAGCTAGGTAGGAACTGGAAATAGGTCATGCATGTGCCTATGTTGATGAGCGCATGGGCATCAAGTATTATTTGGAGTCTCGAGGATGGTGGGCTTTCTGCTTTGGCTAGCCTGCTTTAGCTCATTTATGAAAGCCATCAACTCGTTGTTGACCTCTAATAAGAAAATGGGAGAGATCCTGAATTCTAAAGAATTAATCTCATTTGCTAAATATACTTGATTTATATTGGATGCTTGCTTGCTTCCTTCCTTCCTTCCTTCCTTTTTATTTTCTTTTTTCTGAAAAAAATATTGAATTTTTTATAGAATGCATCTCGACTTCAAAGGGGAAAAAAATGGAACTCAAATATAAGAACAATGAAATCCATTAGAGTATTCGATCAAATAATTTTGGTGCAAGGGTTTAGGCTGGATAGGTGCAATACACGCGCTAAGTTGGATGAGTGTGGAATGAAATAAAATGAAATGGGTTGTTTTCTTTTGGTACGTCTCTCTATAATACGAGACCCATCAACGAATTTCTCGGATCTGATGGGTAATGGAGGCTGCTTTGTCTTATCAGGTATGTGCCTCTCTCTCTCTCTCTCTCTCTCTGTATTGCATGCCAGCAGGCTGGCTTTAGCCTGTAACTGTAAGGCTGTAACCGATCACAATAGGGACAAATATAATACAACCGTTAAAATATGCATGCTTAGGTGCTGACCATAATTGCTACAAGGTTGTTCTTTTCGTTTTTTTTTTTTTTTCTTTTTTCCATTTTAGAAAAAGATTGAGGTTTTTTCACCTGAGCAATTTATCATATATATGGACTATTGAGTCATTGAGTTTAATAAATAGAAAATATAAAAGAGGAGTGGTAAAAACATTTTTTTTAATACTCTTCTTCAAATATTTGTTCAATAAAAATATACACCTCAATTTTTTCATATTATTTTAAAAGTAAATAAATAAAAAAATATATTTCAATGTTTTACGTAATATAAAATTTTTTAAAATTTTGTTTTCTTTTTTTTTTTTTTTGTGAAAACATGAGGCATCATTAACTTTTTATTTGCTCTAAAAAAAAAAAAAAAAAAAAAGGACATAACGGCTGGCATGTACCCGATTCATGTTTTTGTATGGATCCAATTTGGATGTCTGTACAAAAACCAGCCCATTGGGCTGGTTAATGACGTGCAAATTTTACAAAGATTTCTTCTCACTATAGAAGGTTCTTTTCTCCTTATTAGAAAGTAGTAAACTAGTACTAAAGTAAAAGGCCTAACAATTCTTGATTTTTATGTCATTTCACATTGAGTTTCTAACCTTTTTTATTTATTAATTTTAGAGATTTTTAAATTTTTAATTTTCTTCAGTTTTCTATCATTTACTTTAAAAAATAATAATTATATAAATAGTTTTATAATGAAAAATCATTCGAGTGAGATTTATGTGAAGCTCTTTAAAAAATTTAGGATCATTTTAAAATTATTTTTTATTTTTTTATTTTTAATTTTTTTAAAAATAAAAAAATATAGGTTTTTGTTTTGAAAAATTCTGAAATTTTTCTAGTAAATAGATTGATTTTTTTTCGACGTATGTGTAAAATTTCAACTCAAAACACCAAAAATTAAATTTTTTTAAAAGAAAAGAAAATATTTAAATATCATTAGATGGACTAAATCTTTTTAAAAAATTAAAATTTTAGAAATCATTAAAATCAATAAAAAATTTCAAAAACTCAACTTCAAATTAATTAAGGTTCAGATATAATTAGACTATTTTAGCCAACTAGTAATAAATAAATTTTATACCTAATCTCACCTTCATTGCCGCTTAAAGCAAGAACAGCCGCATAGGGAGCCCACCTCAAAAACTTACCCTTAGTTATGTCTAAGAATGAATTAATCTCAAAATATGTAAAAACTGATTAGGAAAACCTTTACTTCAGAAAGATTCCTTATGCTAGATGTGTTTGTGTTTGTCCGTTAATTAATTTCATACTTATGTTAAAAGCATATTCAATCAGTACCTTCTATTTTATAATATTTTTCAATTCTATCCGATTAATAACTTCAGTTAGATTTATCATTAAGTTAGGTGATGTGACTTGTTTCCATGTAACAAAAGTTATAAATTAGAAGAAATTGGACAAAAAATATCAGATGACATAAAATAATAATTGACCAAAATTTTGATACAAATTAAATAATTAACACATATACAGATATAAAGACAAATAAAGAGCTTTTCGAAAGAAAAAAAAAAAGATAATAACAATAAATCACAATAGTAGTTAAGGTTCATTTTAATGGAGCCTTTCACACAAGTCAGTCTTGGAATTGATAATTGCATAGCCAAACAATATAGTAGAATCATCTAAGAGACAGCAGAATAAACAATAGAAAAATAAGTTATGCTATGAGTCTGTATCTTTTTTTCTTTTTTTTTTTTTTTGCCATTTTATGTCTCCCTATATAATTATATGTGTTATGTGCAGTAGCGCATTCAAAAAGAATTTGTCTGCAGTTTGCACTCATTGAAAATCTCTCAAGATCATTTGAGCTGGGTAGACTCGTCTCGTGAATATTTAGATTGTCTTACGAGACCATGTTAATCAAGAGAGCAAGTGCCCTCGATATTCAAGGTTCACTAATGTCAATGAAATTTTTAACTTAGCGTGACAAGCAAGGAAATAAATCTAAAACAAAAACATGTTAAAATGAAGGACAAAAAAATAGAGAAAGAAATAACAAATGATTATATATTTCTTAGGTGTTAGTGGGCCTTTCCAAGGTTCAAAGCTAACTTAAAAAATGATATTTTTTTTTTATACTTATAACTAAATACCGAGTCATTTTCACAATCAATATGGGTTAATTCAATATTTTTTTTCACACATCGAGTATCCGAAGTTGGTTGCTTCTCATCAATATGTTAGCATTGGCACACACAAAATTCTTTAACATATATAGGCTTGTCTGTGAGTGTTATTGAACTTTCTTAATCTCAAAATTAACTTAAGAAGTAAGTTTTTTCTCATATTTATAATTAAATATCTAACTCTTTTCAAAATTTATATGAGATAACCCAACAAAATCTCAATCATAGACTTGTTGAGATGTTTTAAGTATGTTTCACTTATTTCGTTCGGGACTAAAACAATAACAAAATTGAAATCTTGTTGGTTTCCATGAAAACAAAAAGAAAAATTATTTAAAATATTTGTAATCAAACTTTCTAATCTTATTGCTAAGCACGGAATTAAAATGCATTTAAAAGGATAATTTAGAAATTAAAAAATAATAAAATAAAGTTAATTGTGAACTTTGGTCAAAAGACTAAAGTTCACAATTATCTTGTAATTTAGAGAGAGAGAGAGAGAGAGAGAGACTAACGTACAAAAGTGCAATATTTTGTTTTTAAAGTGCATTTAAAAGACTAACTTGTAATATTTTTTAAAAAAAAGACTAACTTACAAAACATAAAAAACATACGGACTAAATCATAATTTATTTTTTATTTTTGGTTACAACTCTTCTCTTTCCTTTAATTCTAATTATGCATTATATATATTTCTAAATACAAATAATATATATATAACTAAATAATTATAGATGACGGCATATAGAATTGACTTGTTTATGTGAAATTCTAAGTATTTTTAATTTTATACCTAAATAGACAATGAGTTTTGAGTCTAGCCTTTGATTTTATTATTATTATTATTATTATGCATTTTGTTTGGGTTGAACACATGCTAATTTTTCTTCAACATCCGAGAATATTGTAAATTTTGAAATCTATTGATATTTAGTTTGATTTTCCCTATTTAAAGTTAACTTATCTTAAGATTTAAGATTTAATATATATATATATATATATATATATATATATATATATTGAAATGAAATGCCAAAATACTCCAATATCAAAATATCTCATTCCAATAACAAAAAAAATGAACAAACAATATTTGTAACGAAATTAACGAGTCTTGATTCTATCCACGATTGCACTCTCTAGTCTTGGCCTTTTGAGATAAAACATTAGTACGAGTGTCGTTACCTTACATTTAGGAAAATTTCAACATTATTATCATTTGTTTTGATTATTTTGTTTATTTTAGAAATGTGAGTTAATTAATATTTTGAAAATCACTATCTAGTATTAAAAGAAATTGAGAAACCTAATTAGAACGCTAGATTAAGAGGTTGTAGGTGAGTTAGTTATGTTTTTCGAAAGATATCGATCATCCAAAAACATTCTTTTCGAAAAAAAATCATGTCTAGTTTAGTTTTAAAAATATATCTACTAAGAATCTATTTTGTCAAATTATTTCAAAATCACTCAAAAAGTATTAAAACTTAAAAATAAAATGAAATTAACAACAATAAAAATTAAAAAAAAATCAACAAATAAAAGATTTGGTAGATATGCATGCTCATGAATTTGAGTTTTGTGTGGAGCCAAAGAATGAAAAGTCGAGATGCGCCAAGTGCAAAAAATTGATAATTTCGGGACCAATCTATCATTGTGCGGAATGCGATGACTTCATCCTCTCAACTTTATCATTATGCCATTTTTATTTAAATATCAATACAAGTGTTGTGCATGTGATCGGATTGGAAAATTTGTTAGCTACAAATGTTTCCAATGTAACTACGATTTCAATGACAAGTGTGTGATTCTACATCATAAAAACCTTTACGGGGACCATTTTCACGAGTGTTCTCTTTTATTTAAGTATTTGCTCGATCTTCATACCGACTTTGCTTTGATGACCACCAAGGATGTGATTCCACATATAAACAACGTTAGAACAGGTGTTAAATTTATGTACTTAGGTCCTAAATCGTAAGTGTTACATATATATTCAATTATGCTTGTAATTGTGGAATGAAAAAGAAAGGATTCTATGTATTTTTTGTTAGATAAGCATGAAACGAACTTTTACTTTATGAACCATGAAAAGAAAAGTAAAGGAAAGATGCAATATCAAATTCGAGAAAATAAAAAAAGAACAAAGTGACTAGATGTATATATACTTAATTATACTTTACTTGTGAGATGAAAAAAAACAAAGAAGAAGAAGAAGAGATTCTATGCATTCCTCATTGAATGAGCGTGCAACGAATTTTTGCTTTATGAACCAGTGCAAAGAAAAGAAACAATATCAAATTTCAAAAAATAAAAAAAGAACAAAGTGATCTCACACACACAAATATATATATATATATATATATATATATATATATATATATATATATACTTGAAAAAAAAATTCTATGCATTTCTTGTTGGATAATGCGTACCGAAATTTTTCTTTATGAACTATTCAAATAAAAGTAAAGGTAAGAAACAATACCATTAAGAAATATGGTTTAGCGGTAAAAAAAAAATACCTTGATTGGCCAAGATCAAGATTTAATTCTCACTATCTATGAGTAAATAGTTATAATTATTTTTTTAATAATATTAAGCTTAGATTGATTTGATCTAAAAGATAATCTAATAATCGACCAAAGCCTAAGCGAGGATACCCCGCTACTTGTGTGTGTGTGTAAGGTTAACAATACCAAATTAAGAAAAAAAGGAACAATATTGATACGAGTGAATCGGAGGTAAGACGAAGAGAGATTGAAACGAGAGAACGGGAGGATTGAAGCGAGAGAATGGGAGGAGAAGAAATATTCAAATTGGGGGAAATCCGCTCAATTAGTAATGCTTGGAATATATGGAGAGGAATGGATGGGTCGGGTGACTCGGTGGACGGAAGTATTATATGCTAGGTGTTTACTTTAGGAGTGGGCCGGATGATGGGCTACGCTTAAGGATGAGTGGGTACGTTATACAAGGGTTCTAGAATAAGAATGAAGAAAGAATTTGTAAGTTGTAATAGATTGAAAGAAACAATATAAATATGCAACGGCTTGGTACTTTACACTAGTCGAATATTATTCGGTTATAACAATTCTTATTCTCTCCATCTTTACGCCCGACATTTTGTTTACGCCTCCTTTGCATTCTAGACTCATCTTCTTCTTTTATTCTTCCACCTATAACATTGGTATCGAGTTGTTGTTCCATGGCTAAAAATGCCAAAATGGATGACTCGCAAAAGCTAGAGGAGTCAATGAGGGTGCTGGCCTAAGAAACCACCGAAAAAATGGAAGTGGTTACTAAAAGCATACAAGACCATTCCACCAAATGGGAGATGGTTCGAAATAACAAGAAGAGGGTTTTGCGAGCTCAGAAGCTGCGGCCTCTCTAATGGCTTCCCCGACCACACCTACCGTCCACCACCAAGAACAAACCTCTATTGCAGCCACGGTACCATTACTACACCACCAAAGTGTTCCACACACACCCATCAATACAAACCCAATACTATCTACACCTCCTACAACAATGACACATCCCTCTTTTCATACTATCAATCACCCACAATATAAGACAACCAATTACAATCCGGACTCGAACCATTGCTGCAAACCATAAAAACCCAAAAAAGAGTTCCCTACCTTTGATGGAGATGACCTGCAAAAGCTAAAGGAGTCAATGAGGGTGCTGGCCCAGAAACCACTGAAAAAATAAAAGTGGTTACTAAAAGCATACAAGACCATTCCACCAAATGGGAGATGGTTCGAAACAATAAGAAGAGGGTTTTGTAGAGCTCGAAGCTACCGACCTCTCTAATGGCTTCCCCAACCACACCTACCGTCCACCACCAAGAACAAACCTCTATTGCAGCCACGGTACCATTACTACACCACCAAAGTGTTCCACACACACCCATCAATACAAACCCAATACTATCTACACCTCCTACAACAATGACACATCCCTCTTTTCATACTATCAATCACCCACAATATAAGACAACCAATTACAATCCGGACACGAACCATTGCTGCAAACCATAAAAACCCAAAAAAGAGTTCCCTACCTTTGATGGAGATGACTCGCAAAAGCTAAAGGAGTCAATGAGGGTGTCGGCCCAGAAACCATCGAAAAAATAAAAGTGGTTACTAAAAGCATACAAGACCATTCCACCAAATGCGAGATGGTTCGAAACAATAAGAAGAGGGTTTTGTAGAGCTCAATAAGCTACCGACCTCTCTAATGGCTTCCCCAACCACACCTACCGTCCACCACCAAGAACAAACCTCTATTGCGGATAACCAATTACAATCCGGACTCGAACCATTGCTGCAAACCATAAAAACCCAAAAAAGAGTTCCCTACTCGTGATGGGGATGACATTGATAAGTGGCTATATCGGTGTCACTAATTTTTTGAGATTGAAACCATAGATGAATATGAGAAGGTTCAATATGCATTTTACTTCTTGGGTGGTAAAGCTCTATATTGGCATCAAGCTTTATAGCCAAAGCTTGGATAGGAAGTTAACTGGGAGGGAGTATGTTGTTGCAATCACAAGTAAATTTGGAGCTAAGTTAGATCCATTGGGTTAGTTAAAAAATCTCTCAAACTTCGATTTAGAATCTTACATTCATGAGTTTGATGTTTTACGGAACCGAGTCGCTATTAATGAACAACAAGCTTTAAGCATGTTTTTAGCT